GGAGCAGACCTCCTAGTACTTCTCTCAATTATTTTTGGGTGTTTCTCTCCCATTCTGTTACTTTATATTCCCCAGATGAGTGCAGTCTTTCTATGTTTGTCCCTCTCTTTCTGACTCATTTCACTTAAGTGTATGCAAATTTCATGACTTCATCCTTTCTAACTGCTGCATAGTATTCCATTGTGTAGATGTATCAAAGTTTCTTTAACCAGTCATCTGTTCTCGGGCACTCAGGTTTTTTCCAGACTTTGGCTATTGTGAACAGTGCAGCAATGAACATACAAGTGCAGATGTCATTTCGACTATACTTTTTTGCATCTATAGGATATATTCCCGGGAGTGGTATTGCTGGGTCAAATGGGAGCTCAATTTCTAATTTTTTGAGAATCGTCCATACTGTTTTCCAAAAGGGCTGAACCAGTCGGCATTCCCACCAGCAGTGAAGGGGAGTCCCTTTCTCACCACATCCGCACCAACACTGGTTGCTTTTGTTCTTTTGGATGTGGGCCAGTCTCTGTGGTGTGAGATGGTATCTCATTGTGGTTTTGATCTGCATCTCCTTGATGATTAATGATGTAGAGCATTTTCTCATGTGCTTTTTTGCCATTCGGATTTCTTGTTTGAGAAAGTTTCTGTTCATTTCATTTCCCCATTTTTTGATGGGGTTGGATGTTTTCTTCTTGTGGAGTTCAACCAGTACTTTGTATATCCTTGATATCAACCCCTTGTCAGATGTGTATTCGGCGAATATTCTTTCCCATTCTGTAGACTGTCTTTGTATTTTGGTCGCTGTTTCTTTGGAGGTGCAGAAGCTTCTTAGTTTAAGATAGTCCCATTTATCTATCTCTGTTTTCACTTGCTCGGCCAGTGGCGTGGCGTCTTTGAAAATACCATTAGCCTCAATGTCATGGAGGGTTTTGCCAACTTTGTCTTCAATGTACCTTATGGATTCTGGCCTGTTGTTGAAATCTTTAATCCATTTTGATCTGAATTTTGTGCATGGTATTAGGTTGAGGTCTAAGCCCATTCTTTTGCATGTGGTTGTCCATTTGTGCCAGCACCATTTGTTAAAGAAGCTTTCCTTGCTCCACTTCACATTTCTTGCTCCCTTATCAAAAATTAGATGTTCATATATTTGGGGTTGTGTGTAGGGATATTTCACCCTGATCCATTGGTCTGCGGCTCTCCCTTTATTCCAGTACCATGCTGTTTTAATTGTTACTGCTTTGTAGTAGAGTTTGAGGTAGGGCAGGTTGATGCCTCCCATCGTCTTTTCCCCAATAATTGCTTTAGCTATTCATGAGTGTTTGTTGTTCCAAATGAATTTTAGGAGTGCCTGATCCATTTCTTTGAAGATGAATATCCTTATAGGGATATTGTATTGAATCTGTATAGTGCCTTGGGGAGTATTGCCATTTTGACAATGTTAATTCTTCCTATCCATGAGCAGTAGATATGTTTCCATTTCCTCATGTCCTTTGCGTTTTGTAGTCTTCTTTGTAGAGGTCCTTTACCTCCTTAGTTAAGCTGATTCCGAGGTACTTGATTTTCTGGGGGCACAATTGTGAATGGGATTGCTTTTTTCATGTCTCTTTCCTCTGTCTCATTATTTGCGCATAGGAAGGCCATGGATTTTTGGGTATTTATAGCCTGTGACTTTACTGTACAAGTCTATTTTTTCTAGGAATTTCTTGGTAGAGGCTTTAGGATTCTCTAGATATAGTATCATATCACCTGCGAATAGTGAGAGCTCGATTTCTTCCTTTCCTATCTGGATGCCCTTAATATGTTTTTCTTGCCTAACTGCTACTGCAAGTACTTCCAGTACTATACTGAACAGAAGGAACTTTCCTCAAGATAGTCAAAGCCATCTATGACAAACCTATGGCAAGCATTATCCTCAATGGGGAAGAACTAAGGGCCTTCCCTCTAAGATCAGGGACAAGACAAGGATGCCCACGCTCAGATGTGCTTTAATATAATGCATTTTTGAAAAGTATAGGCCAGTTCTTTAGGAAACTGTGAGTTAAAAAAGTGTGGGTGCACAACACGTTGTGTTTGGTGGCCGAAAACTGCCTCCCGAGGCCAGCCAAGAGTGGTGGGTGAACAAGGGAACCAGGAACAGAGGAACAGAACCACAGGCTAGTTGGTAATCAGCAACTGTTTATTTCTCCTTTAAGTGTAGATATACAGAAATCGTGAAGGGTGAGGGTACACATCGGTGGGGTTGAACACTGTTCTAACAATAAACAGTTGAAAGCTCCTCCTTCAGGGGAGGTTCTTCTAGGAGATTAACTTCCGGACAAAATCTCATCTGGAGGTTCAGCACTCTACATTACCAGGAGATCGGTTCAAGGGTGGGATTCTAAGAAGGGTGTATTGCTTTCTCCTTTCTTTAGCTTTATTTCTAGTCATTTGTATGAACAGTAAGAGATGCGTTGTGCTAAGGAGCGTTGCTTCCTGGGGACAGCTCACTATAAATCCCAGACCACAGTGCTCAGTCTTTCCTAACCCCAGCAAGGTCCATCAGTTACTGCTTTTGGGGTCATGACAGAATTTGTTAGATCACAGTGCTCTTAACTTATTATAGCTTGTCTCTTTCAATGCCAGGGTAACTTACAGCTTGACATGGGTCCATTCAAGTCCCTAGTTGGGAACCATCCTTTTGGGGTATTGTGAACGAAGGGCAACTGAGGCTTAAGTCAAGTAAATATGACAGATACCCAAGAGTAAATATTATTCGGAGTCAATTAACTCCCATGTCACAAAAGCATAGCATCAACTGTTTTCCTGTGTCTATACAAAAAGGACACTGCTAAACCATGCAAAGGAAAGAAAAGCAAACCAATAAGGCAAACATAAAGCAGGCAAGAAAGCAAACAATAAAGCAAACAAAAAAAAGCAAACATAAAGGAAAGAGCAAAGCAATATAGGATTAGGAGTTACTGAAGGAATTGGGTGTGCTTGGGAGCACTGTGGTGGGAGTAACTCAATACAAGTAAGAGCAAACCAATGTTATCCAACAGAAACATCTCTCAATTTGGATTTTTCTATGTAGTCTGTTGGGGATCAAACCTGGACCTCACATTCAGAGTTCTGAAGTATTTCTTTCTTTTTGTTGTTGGTTTTGGGGATGGATCTCTTGGTGGTGCTCAGAGCTGACTCCTGATTCTGCACATAGGGATCGACTCCTGGCAGTGCTCTGGGACGAGACAGGGTACTGGGGATGGAACCCCAGTCGACTATGTGAAAGGCTGGTGCCTTTCGCTGTCCTGTGGTTCCAGTACAAGGTGTGTATTTTGGACTGTGTCAGGGCAGGAAGCACACAGTGACAACAGTCTCATTACTGATGGTATTTAATGATTTGCGGAAGACCCACTGGAGTTCGCATTTTACCTTTATGACCAATAAGCAGACTTTGTGGGGGGGCATATTCTGAAACTGACATAATCCTTCAAACCTTTATCCAGAGGTCTTAATATTCATTGATGGTTAAATGACACAAGTATCACAATGACAGTTGCAAATGACGATTTTTTTCTGTCTTTCTTAATATTATCACAGGCCATTCTGCAGGAGAGCACTTTTCCTTCTACCCTCTGATGCTTTTTGATTAGGGGAAGGGTGGGGGGGAGGGTCTCCAAGGACAAAGCTCTCTCTGCACTGATTTCCGAGTGCTGAGCCCAGCTCACGACCCTAGAGCACTCTCTGCTTTGGAGATGACAGGGCTACAGAACAGTGAACTCTCACCATGTACTTTGTTCAAAGTCCACTTAGCAGAACGCTGGGCAGTTGGTGGTAACAGCTACTCAGAAAAGACTGCTTTTTTTAGCGTGGGAGAAAAGTGCATGTGTCTCCGTTTCTACCCTATTTTATGTTTATTTGGGGGCCAGAACCCTGGGTGGTTAGGGACTGCATGAGGGGTGGTGGGGCCCTGGGACCACTACAGGCTGCGTCTACCATGGCCACGTGGATGCAAGCTTGTACCCAGCCACTTTGCTCTCTCCTGCTCCTCTTCCCTTTTTCTTTTCTCTTTTGGGGTCACACCCGGCGACACACAGGTATTGCTCCTGGCTCTGTACCCAGGAATTACTCCTGACGGTGCTGGGTGACCATACGGGATGCTGGGAATCCAACCCCAGTCCGCGGCGTGCAAGGCAAACGCCCTACCCGCTCTGAGCTCCAGGCCTGTCTACCAGATTTTTATGCTTCATCGATGGACCCCAAAGTTCGCTATTCTAATATCTACCAAACAACATGAATTTAAGACCTCCATGAAAGCTGCAGAAGGTCTGTGTGTGAGGGTAGGGTGGGGTGGGAAGGCCTCCGATGGGTGAGTCACGCACCATGAGCCCCCTCTCCAGCCCCAGGAACGAGTTTTGTGTAAGAGGATCAGGCTTTAAGTCTCAACTCCCCTCCCAGCTCATTTCACTCTGTCCAAAGTGAGGGCAGACCTGGGAGGTGGCTGAGAGCTAGTGCATGCCCTTTGCACGCGGGAGCGCCGGGTTCCATCCCTGAGCACCTAGGGGTCCGACCCCCGCCGTCCCCAGCACCGAGTAGGCAGAAGCCCCAGAACTGCAATGCGCCCCCACCCCAAGGAGGTCACCCTAAAGAAGACAAAAAATCGCAGCTAGGGCCAGAGAACTAAAGCAGGGGCGAAGGTGCACTAAGGTGCACGGTCTGTGGCTCCCGAGCCCGGAGCAGAGCCCAGCTGTGGCTCAAGCCCCTACTCCGGAAACAAAGACAGAAAATACCGCCAAGCGAGGGGGACGCGCGTCCCTCTCCCGGGGACAGCGACAGCGCCCCGGGCGCAGCTAGCGCGCCCCCCGGCCGGCCAGCACGCACACGTGGCCCCGGCCCCGCCCCCGCGCCCGCGCCCGCCCCGGCCGCGCCTGCGCCCTGGCGGCCGCCCGCCCGCCCCGCCCCGCCCCGCCCCGCCCCCGCCCCCGGCGGCGCCCCCGGCCGCGCCTGCGCCCTGGCCGCCCCGCGCGCCCCGCCCCTCCGCGCATGGCCGCGCTGCCCCGGGCCCTGGGCGCAGGCGCCGTCCCCCGCCGGCTGCTGCCCGCGCGCGCCCCCGTCCCCGCCCGCGCCATGGCCGGCCGGCCCGAGCCCCCCGCGGCCCGCGCCGCCTACGACTACCTGGTGATCGGCGGCGGCTCGGGCGGGCTGGCGAGCGCGCGGCGGGCGGCCGAGCTGGGCGCCAGGGCCGCCGTGGTGGAGAGCCACAAGCTGGGCGGCACCTGCGTGAGTACGGGCGGGGGGCGCGCGGGAGTGCTCCCGGCGGGGGGCGCGGGGGAGTGCTCCCCGCAGGGGGACTGGGGTGCTCCCAGCAGGGTGCCGCGAGGCTGCTCCCCGCAGGGGGCTCGGGGACTCGGGGGAGTGCTCCCCGCAGGGGGCCCGGGGTGCTCCCCACAGGGGGTCTGGGGGCGCTCCTCGCAGGGTGCCGCGGGGGTTTTGGGAGTGCTCCCCGCAGGGGGCTCGGGGACTCGGGGGAGTGCTCCCCGCAGGGGGCTCGGGGTGCTCCCCACAGGGGGACTGGGGGTGTTCCTCGCAGGGTGCCGCGGGGCTTTTGGGGGTGCTCCCCGCAGGGGGCTCGGGGGTGCTCCTCGCAGGGGGACGCGGGGGGCTGACGGGAGTGCTCCCCGCAGGGTGCGGGGAGGGGGGCTCAGGGGATGCTCCCTGCACGGAACCTGGGGGGAGGGCTGGGGGGGGATGCTTCCTGCACAGAGCCTCAGGGGTCTGGGGGGTTGCTCCTTGCACGGAGCGCCCCGCAGGGGGGCTTGAGGGGAGTGCTCCCCTGCCCACACCACGGGTTCCAGGTCCCCAGCGCGGAGCCGTGGCGGGGGGTTTGGGGGGGGGGGCGGGTGCTCCGGGGGTCTTGCTCCCAGCTCCAGGCCGCGGGGGTCTCTGAGGGTCGTGCCCCCTGCCCTCCCCGCGGCAGGCTGCATGCTGCATGCCGGCTGCAGCCCGCCAGACCCGTGCACCTGGGTCTCCACCTCCCTCCGGGGTCGGGGGGCGCTGTGGGGGGCTTGCGGGGGGCTTCTCGCGCTCGCTGATCGGAAGGTCTGCGGCCCGGGTGCAGCCGGTGCCCCGAGCATCCTGTCGGCCTGGTTCGGCGGGGGCCGCCCCCGGTGCTGAGGGGGCGCTGCCGGCTGGGACCCTGCGGCTGGGACCCTGCGGGGCTGCGTGGGACCGGCCTTCCGCGGGGGGAACGTGCCCAGCCCCGCCCGGTTCTCCCTGCGGGCCCAGGGGGCTGTTCTCAGTGCGGCTGCCTTGAGGGTCCCCAGCCCTGGCGCCTGGCGGGCTCCCGGCGGAGAGCGCTCCTTGGCGTGTCTTGGTGGGGCTGGGGGCCTTGTGTGCGACTCCCCCCAGCCGACCCCTGATCCGGGGTGGCACCTGAGCACAGCCACAAGTAGCCCTGAGCACTGCTAGACGTGGCCCCATTATTGTCCCCAAGGTAGTTGTGGATCCTGCGGTCAGATGATATTTTTAAACACCCATTTAAAAAAAAAAATTGTTTTTCTTGGCGGGAGAGCTAGTAGAGCCGGTAGGGCACTTGCCTTGCGCGAGGTGGACCTAGTTTGTTCCCTGGCACCCCATAAGGTCCCCCCCCATACCTCAGCACGGAGGCAGAAGTGACCCTGAGCACCGTTGGGTGTGTCCGTCCCCCAAGTAACTGGTGTGGCCTCTTCTAACAGATTTGGGTGAGGTACAGGCTGTTGTATTAAAGTGCTGTGCAGGGGTAATCTGGGGTTGGGATGGGTTCAGCACATCCCTCTGAAGACTGTTTAAATTGAGGGTGAACTTCCTCGGGGCAGGGATGGGTTGGTGTGTTCACCCAGCTATTTTGTGGATGGGAGCGCCCTGCCCGGCAGCGCTCAGGAATTGCTCCTGGCCCTGCTGCGGGAGACCCTGTGGGAAACGGGGGTGGGGGTGGTGGGGAAACTGGTGTGCAGAGCCCAAGGCAAAGCCCCACTTGCTGTATTATCACTCCAGCCCCGTTCAGCTGCCTCACCCCCTTGCAAAGTTACCTTTGGTGAAATTAATAAAAAGTCAGATTTGACAGCTCTGAACGGGCTGACTCCCACTCTGTTGTCCATCCAGCGCTTGATTTTCTAGCTGAAACGGAAGTGGGCTGAGGGAGGGAAACCCCTGTTGCTTGTCCTCTTGCCCCGGGCACCTCTGGGCAGGTCTGCAGGAGGGCTGCACAGCCCGAGAGCTGTGCGTGCTTCACCCCAGCGTCCCCCACCCCGCTTCTGTTGCAATCAGCTTCTTACTGCCGGGTTGCACCTGCATTGATCAGGAAGGGACGGGCTTGTGCCCCCTCCTTGGTTCCTGTTAGGAGTCTGAGCACGCTGAGAGGGAAGCTGCTTCCGTGAGCGAGCCTGGGAGAGCCACAGTGTGCCTTGTGGCCCATCCTGAGGCCAGTTGCCCACTTGAAGGCCAGTGTTCCAGGAGAAACGTTTCCTGGGGTACGAGCATCCTGAGACAATGGGGACCCTCGGTCCAGAGGACATGATCACGTTGTCAGGTTGATAGGGCTTCAGTAGGGATCTAGGGCTTTCCACTGACTGCTTGGGGAGGTTCGGTGTCTAAGGTCAGGGGCCAGAGAGTAGTACAGCAGGTAGGGTGTTGCTTTGCTGTGGTTGTCCCGGGTTCGATCTCCAGCATTCATCCCATTGTGATTCCCGGAGCACCACTGGGTGTGGTGCTTGGACTCTCTCAAAAGAGAGTCCAAGGTCAGGCGGCTGGGTGGAGTTTGGACCTGAGGCCATCCGTGCTGTCCCTGTGATGTGCTGGCCTTGTCCTCCTCCAGGTCTGCACGATGACCTTCATGAGTCCTTCCATAGGTGCTGCTGTGGGTTCTCCGATGCAGAGAGGCTGCCTGCAGCAGAACCTGGCCCAGTGTTTCTCCTGGGGGCTGGTGTCTTTTCCAGCCCTTCACTGGATCTTGTTCAACACCACACATGTGGCTGCAGGACACCCCAGGACTGAGGGATAGCCAGGGACCCCGAGGGGAGGAAGGGAGAGGAACAAGATGGAATCTCATGCTTGCTTGATGTCCAGCCTTGAGATGAGCACCTCAGGCTCCTGAGAAATCATAAATATTTGTATTTATTAACAAAAAATGATGTTTTTTAATATAAAAACAGAACTTTCTGCTAAGAGGTGATATCCTAGGGAGTAATTCTCTGCTTAACATGTTAGGACGTTTCATTTGGCCTTTCTCCTGCTGCCTTTGTTTCTGAGTTGTGGGGAAGGGTCTCTGCTTCAGTGGGGAGGGCCTGTCCCAACTCTTTGCAGGGTTTCCTCCTGGCTCTGCACGTGGACATCAGTCCAGGCACCACTCATGGGATCACAGGCAGGGACCAAGCCCAGGCCAGCCACGGGCTAGGCAAGCACCAGCCCTGGTCCCCCCGTACGTGCTGGGAACAGCCAACTGGTGTTCCCAATTGTCATCATAAACTTGGTGGGGCCCGTGATTTCCAGGGACTCAGGGAAGACTGAGACCAGCAGCTTGTGGTCCCTTTGTCCACATGCCTGGATTTCTTGCCTTCTGACTGTTTAGGGGGCAGTGGGGCCTTGCATGAGGTTATGCTGCCAGTACATTTGCTGACGGAGGTGCCATTCTTTGTTTTCGGGCTGTACTGGACTCTGTGCTCAGGGGTCACTCAGGGCTCAGGGAATCCTAAGTGTTGGCTGCATGCAAGGCAAGTGCCCTACCCACTGGGCCGTCTCTCCTGCTTCTCCACTCTTGGTTGAGGGACATGGGGCTCTGTTTGCGGCAGTGTCACACATGTGCTTCTCAGGGACAGACCTCCCGGCCGGAATGCTTGAAGTTCCTTTCATTATGGTATTCACTGAGGCCCGCGCCCCCTTTTAGATCTTACATGCTCCTAAGTGCTGTGTGGCCATAAGTCACTTTGGTGCCGGGCGTTATAGAGAGCTGCCAGGATGTGTCTCAGCACACGTGGAACTCTGGGGACTTGAACTCATGACCAGGTACTTGCAAGACGGATGTTCTAGGCCCTGGCACTATTCCTATTGGCCCTCAGAGTTTCTGTATGACTCCGCCAGGCCCCACAGTGTTCTGGAAGTAGCATCTCCCTTCTTGGAGAGATGGAACAGTGGATCGGGCCCTGATCTTGCAGAGAGCCAACCCGGGTTTGACCCCCAGCACCAATTATAGTCCCTTGAGCTTTGCCCAGAGTGATCCCTGAGCACAGAGCTAGGAATAAGCCTGAGCCCTGCCGGTGTGCCGCCCCTCCCCCCCAAACGTGCACTGGTGAAAGGAGTTGGAACAGTAGATGACTGAAACTCAATTATGAACAACTTTGTAAGCATGTATCTCACGATGATTCAATTGAAAAAAAAAACCAATGAAAACACAAAACAAAAACCCATGAGTGCACACTTAGATCTGACTTTCTGTCTGTCAAGTTAGATATTAAAAATGGGCAACAATTCCTTTTTTCCCCTTGACCTTGGTTAAAGATAAATGATCTTTTAGTTGCCTTGCATGGTGAAGTAATTCCTGAGATACAAGAGCTGATCTCTGGCCCCGGCTGTTGGCATCTTCTGAAAGCTCACTTTAATAGTTTCTCCAGATCAATTACAGGCTCAGGATTGCTCAATGCCAAGGTGAAGTCGAGTTTTCTGGGAGCTTTGTCTGCGGTTCAGTTCTCTGCCTACGCAGAGGTAGGAAGAGTCGGTTTGAGCAAAAGTTCCTTCTCACGCTTTGCTCCAGGGCCTGCAGGAGCCCAGGGCCCGATGTTCTTCCTGATGTAGCGATTCTGTGATAAAGAGGAACAGGATTCTTGCGGCATTGCCCGTGAGAGTTGGGCAAAGGAACGGTTGAACACGTCGTATTCTTGTTTTGCTTCTTGGGTCCTGGCCAGTGGTGCTCAGGGCTTGGGGATCTGTGCTCAAGGATTACTTCTGTGGTTGTGGTTCCAGAAGTCATTTTGGGGTCAGCCTCTGCCCCCCACCCCCGCCACTGTTTTTGGGGAGACCACACCTGACTGTGCTCAGGGCTTCCTCCTGGCCCTGTGCTCAGGGTTCTCTCCTGGCAGTGCTTGGGATTCCATGTCGGGTACAGGGAACAGGGCCCAGGTCAGCTGTGGGCCAGGCGAGCACCTTTAACCCCTGTCCTATCTTTCAGGCCCTATTTAAAGGAACCCGACAGTTCCTTCAGTATTATAGATACCCCTCACAAGGAGAAAATCACTCTGGTGTTTTCATGG